CAGACTTGGTTCTTTTTTAAAGGGAGGGGAGAATGTTTGCTGTGAAAAACCAGCAACCAAGTTTGCTTTCTGGCCCCAAACATGTGCAGAAACATTTGGTTTGTCAAATTATTAATATCCTATCATTCTGCCTAGCAACTGGCCTCCAAATTGAGAAACAGGAGAAGAAAACATACAATAATGTGGCTACTTAAAAAAACGCAACAAATGGTTACCTGATAATGATGTATGAAGAAGCAAGATCTACATTTACTTTTCCTTCAGTGTTAATAAATTGAGGCCATTCCAGCTACTACCTTTTTAATTGACTTCACGTTGTTTGTAGGGATCCCTCCCTCCGTTCAGTAGCCCCAGGATCAGGATTAACCAAAGCCAGCTATCACCAATTTTTATTTTGTCTTCAGAAGTGGTATGCTTTCTTGAGTAATCTGAAATATTGATTATTACTGAAGTCATGTAGGCAAAGGTAGTAAGAGGTAAATTAACTCCCAGTCTTTTTGTTATAGTCATTGTTGGGAGAGTATGGTGTTACTACTGGCTTTTCTCTATCAGATCTTTTGTTTTATACATATTTTCTCCAAAATATTCTGTGTCTCAGTCCAATGTAAAGAATATATTACTATTTACTGTTTTGCAAATGAGAAGCTATTCCTGAACCTGTTACTTGCAAAAAGACAATTGGTAAGGCCATATGAATCCAATACTCTCAGACATGAATGAGAAAATGGCAGGCTTTTTATATTGTGATGGAAGCTAGTAACATGTTAAAAAAGGGCGAGCCATTCAATCTCAATATAAAAAGCAGAAGAGGTTTTCTGGCTGGGGGGGGTGGTGGTATGTTGTTATAGTGTCTTTTTTTTTGCCTTATCATGCATGCTATTATTTATTAATTAATTTGTTTAAGATATTTCTACCCTGCCTTTCTCCACGACTGGACCCAAAGCGGTTTACAGCATAAAAACACACAATATAAACAATAAAAGATAAAACGCACAACTTAAAACATACTAAAAACACATATACAATAAAAACCAATTTCCACCTCCCCCATTTGAGCACCTCAATAAATAGTCATAAACCTTAAAACTCAACCCATTCCTATAGCACATGTCTTAGTTAAAGGCCTTCTTGAAAAGAAATGTCTACCCCCTTCTTGAAGCTTAGGAGGGATGGGGCTGATCTTAGTTCCTCTGGGAGGGAGTTCCACAGTGCTGGAGTTGCTCCTGAAAAGAAGCCATCTATCATTTTACGTAAACACATTTTCGGACAGGACTGAGTGGCAACCAGGGCCTCTTAGGTGGACCTCAACTCTTGACCTGAAGTGTAAAAGGGGAACACGGTGTTCCAGGTAGGCTGCATTGAAGTCATGTAGCGTTTTATAGGTGAGAACCAGCACCTTGAATTGGGCCCGTAAATGGATGGGCAGCCAATGGAGGTGTCTCAGGAGCAGTGTAGTGTGCTCCCTGATACCAGCTCCCGTTACCAGTCTGGCTGCAGATCTTTGTACAAACTGTAATTTCCAAATGCTTTGCAAGGGCAGCCCTACATAAAGTGTGTTGCAATAGTCCAGTCAATTGTTGAAACAATTGTGTTACTAACCTGCAATGAAGTTATCATACATCTATATATGTAACTTGTTCACTTTCGATATGGGTCTTTTTCCAAAGCAAGCACAAAAAGTGGTGTTGAACACAGTAAATGAAAATAAACAAGAGAAGTTCTGTTTCCCTCCATGACTAAAGTTCACAATTGCTTGGCTGTTACTTTATTAATGTTATAAGATATCAAACAGTTTTGCTGACCACGGCTTGCTGTCTCTGTTTATCACGACTGATAAAAGATCTGTACTGTCAAACAAGAATTTAGCTATACAGAAAAGGGGAAAAGCGGGAAAAGAATGGGTCATAATACAATAACATATTCTGAAGGTTATCCTTTCTTGCCAACAATTAATGGGGAAATTCGTTTTATGATTCTTTTTTTACAGACCTACATCTGGAGAACTTTTCAACTTGAATCTTTTCCAAAATGTTGGATGTATGAACCAATCTCCCCTCCTATCATTTATCTTACTCTTACTATGTATGAGTTGTTTCAGTTGTTATCAGCAGATGCAAATAATTTTTGCTCTATTTTGCAGTCCTTTGGGTAGGAAACCTTCCTCAGTCGTCTTCTTCTACATTCTGGATAATTAGATAGTAATGTAAAATTTGTACTGGAAAGCAAGCTCAAATGCTGATCTAGTTGAGATAGCTGTTCTTAAAGGCTGATAGCTGAATGTGTAATACGTTCAGTGCGCGACTGAAAACAAGGCTCATATGTATAGTGTGGTTTTTAGTTTGAAGCAGAACAATGTCATATTCCCTATAGCTCATACTTCATTCTGACTGTTGCCAAGTCAAAGCCCCCAACTGAGCTCTGCGATGGCCCTAATTTTGCAGTGCTGATGGAGATCAGATTGACACTTAAACTATATTTTTCCTAGTGCCAAATTAAAGCATTCCTGTTTTCCTAGACATTTGGAGATCTGAAATTTTAAAGCATAATTAAAGTCACAGTTTAAATTGATGTTTTGCTAGAATTTTTCAATTTGTTAGAATGATATAAGGATGGAACACACTTCTAAAAACAGTATGTTCTTTCTTTTCAGTATGCTCTGTGAAGTGATCTAAAATGATGTGCTAAAATGATTTTAGTATTTTAGTATTTTCAGACTTGAAAAAGTTACGTTATTATAGTTCTTAGAATCCCCCAGCTAGTATGGGCTATGCTAGCTGGGAGTGTGAGAGAGGAGTTTGTGAATTGCACTCCAAAAAAACCATAACATTCTGACTTCAGTGTTTTACTAGCCATGCTTTTTTAAAACAAGGAAATAAAGTAATTGCGTATCTGTAAAAGAAAAGTAAGACAATGGGGAGAACATGGCATTTCCTTTTAATATTGCTACATTTTGACAGTATTGTTTGGCAAGTATATCCGGATATGTCATCCAAACCAAAATCAGGCTTCCAGCCAATTGGATAAGGTGCCTTGGGGCAAAGTGACATTTAAAAAAAGTGATAAAGTTACCTTGGATGGAAAAATTGTGCTGATGCCTAATGAAATACTTTGGTATATAAGGTATTAATTTTCATGGCTATATATAACCTTTGGGAGTTGAGTTTTCAAAATAAGCTTTCAGAATTTTTTCGTGTACACGGAAACTTTATATGTGTTAATGAGCTACGTGACATTTTATTCATAATCTCACTATTAGGAAAGATCATTTTAAGGGTGTTATTTCTATGAATCTTTGTTGTTATGTTCACAAAGTTTTTTATCTTGGGTTTTATCTGAAAAACAAGAGTTCCATACATAAGAGGATTGAAGGAATAGTTTTCACATTTTTCTTTAAATAAATTCCTTTCACACAAGATAGGAGGGGCGTAGGTCAATGTGACTATTGACAGAATATTGTGCTGGAATGCTTTATGTTCATGTAATTGTCAGCAAAATGCGACAACCCTGTAGGCTTAACAGCCCATAAGGCACTTCTGTATTTTAGCAATGGGCATTTGTCAGATGGAATTATTCAAACTCATGGGCACCTTTTACCTTTTTTTCTTCTTCTTTTTTTGGTAAGGTGGATGTTTTGTACATTGGGTTTTCCCACGCTTCATATTAATCATAATCTTTCTTTAAGATTAAACTTTCAATTTGCATTCTAGGCATGAAAGCCATAAGTTATGGTAGCTTCGCTTTCTCTTATTTAAAATGTTTAGGGAACATACGGAATTTTTCCTACTTTATAAAAGCTTCTTTCTTTACTTTTTATTTTTTCTTCTTTTTTTTTGTTGCTTTTAGCTCCAGTTTTTAAAATCTGTTTTAAAACATACCAGATTTACCTGTATATCTATTAAGAAAGAGTAATCTGGATATTAGAACTCATGCCCTATTATGATAACCAAGGAAGGCTCCCTTCCTTGTACATGCAACTCATGTACAAGGAGGGTAGGGTAGGAATGGGATAAAACAATAAAACAACAATATTTTTAAAAAGAAAAAAAGAAAGGAAGGCTCAAAAGTGCCATCCTTTCCCTTGTGTTACAGTTCAATGTCCATTTTTCTCCTCTTCCTCAGTCCACACTGAGGTGGTAGATATAGATATTGCACCACTTCAAATAACTGTTCTCCACAGCTTTTAAATCCTATATAAAACACATATATAAAATACATATATAAAACACACAGGGAAAGTGAATGCAGTCCCTACTTTTGCTTTGAAATTATGGGAGTCTTTTTGGAGAGCAGGATCTAAATATTCCATCTTTTCAGCCTAGCCTTTAGTCTAAAGTTGTATACTTCAGACAGGGCTGTGTCATTTTAGTTGTTGATTTCTTGGAGTGTGTGGTTAGTTTCAGACATTGATATTATTAAAATCCTAGAGAAGGACAACATACTAATTGTGCTTCAGCATTTTTTAGTTGTAGATCCCCCGGTGGCGCAGTGGGTTAAACCCCTGTGTCGGCAGGACTGAAGACCGATAGGTCGCAGGTTCGAATCCGGGGAGAGGCGGATGAGCTCCCTCTATCACCTCCAGCTCCTCATGCGGGGACATGAGAGAAGCCTCCCACAAGGATGATAAAAAGCATCAAATCATCCGGGCATCCCCTGGGCAACGTCCTTGCAGACGGCCAATTCTCTCACACCAGAAGCGACTTGCAGTTTCTCAAGTTGCTCCTGACACGACAAAAAAAAAGTTTTAGATGATACTGGTTTGCAGCTCCAAGACAAAGAACAGCTGCTTGTGAACAGAGGTGGCCTGGGTCTTGCCTCCTCAATATTAGATACTAGAAATGGCAAATTATTTTGGCTTGCTTCTACAATATTTTTTTGCCAATAATAATTAAAGAACAGCTCATTCTTATTATAGGTTTTGTAACACTAATAATTTTGGAATGTATCATTTTCTTTTTTGCTTTCTAAATTATTTCATATACAAATATTTTATTTCAACATAGGTGGCTGTGCTACCATACTAGAATCTGACCTTGAAGAAAGATCAGCCTCACAAGACTCCCCAGCCATGTTTACCAATCACAGGCACCTCATGAAGCAGAAGACCAAATCTGGTAAGAAAGAATTCATTGTGAGAGAGAAAAAAATGATATGTGTATGAGAGATATCTAATTTTTTTGAAGTTCCCATTAGTTGTTTGTTAATGATTTATTTTTATTTTGAGTCCGTCCATCCCCATTCTCTCTCTCCCCTCTACCCCCTACCTGATTTAGTAGTTCTAATCATTATTTTCATAAACTACCATAGTGAAGATATAGAGGCGATGCAATGGTGGCTCCTGAATTTTCATGGTCTTTGGTGTGATGCTCATATTGCCCTTGAGATTGAAATGTTACTTTTTTGGACAACTATCAGAGGCAGTGGTGACTGGGAGATCTTTGGAGTTAAACTTGCATATTGTGTCCTGCTGTCAATTTTAAATAGATACAATCTCCGTCTTACTTTCTTCTCACAACTCTACTGATGTCACTCTGTAGAACTCTCCAGAAGAAGTGGGCAAGGCAAGTGAAGGCAGCTCTTTTCCCTTTCATGACACTGCTTGCACTCTACATGAGATGAACTGAACAGGCAGAATCGTTTTTTTAAAAAATATTTATTTTCAGTTTTTCAAATAAAATACAGTGAAAGAGGGGGAACAATTCACAGTTTAAGGTAGACAAGAAAGGATAGTCAGGGGTGAAAGGAGGGGACCAACAAGAGGGGGGAAGGGGGGGAGGAGGGGGTAGGATTAGAGGGGGGCGGGGAAGGTGTTGACTTCCGGTTCAGGTCACAAGGAGTAAAACACTTTGTCCATTATTTTTCCTCTTGTTTCTTTTACCATTTTTTTCCTTCGAACAGGCAGAATCGTTGAGGAGTAGGAGGCGGGGGGGGGGGGGGGGAGAGGATGGTGCTAAGGTATTGGCTCAGGAATTTCAATTCCTGAGGACAACCCTGTACACAACCTTGTCAGAGAATACCACAAATATTGCAACTGTGGATTACATACTTCAGCAATAGAAATTTGACTTGTGCTGTATGCAGAAATGAATGCAAGGATAATGAATTAGGGGATGTTTTTCACTGTGAATTATGAAAACCAATTCATATTTGCAATTTTGTGAAAAAAATTATGTTCTTATATTAGATTGAGTGTTGATGACATAATGTCTGAAAGAACAATGTGAGCTCTTGCGAACTCTAAAATAGTGCTGGATTGTGTATAAAACTGTACTTCAGCTAACCTATTACCACAGTTAATAAAACCTCCCATTACAGTTTTATTTTCTGCATCGTAGATGGTGTCCCTCTGTTTAGAGACTCTCAGGCCAACTTTATCAGTGACTAATCACATCTTTGTTCTGTTCTTTTAAATATAAATTCATACGTTGCAAGGCTGTGTTGGTAGTGGTTGTAAAAATGAAAATGTATTTTAATGTTAGAAAAAAATCTGCTTTTTAGTTGTATCTGACTGCGCAATAGAGATTTGATAAAACAAGAAAAAATGCTGTAGCACCTTAAAGAGTAATAAAGATTGTGAACTGTCTGTTGGGTTCATGAAGTATAATGCTGAATTTCAAGCAAACAATTAAAATGTGTAAGGCTTTCATGGCCAGAATCACTGGGTTGTTGTAGGTTTTTTTGGGCAATATGGCCATTTTCTAGAGGCATTCTCTCCTGACTTTTCGCCTGCATTTATGGCAAGCATCCTCAGAGGTAGTGAAGTCTGTTAGAACTAGGAAAAAGGGTTTATATATCTGTGGAATGACCTGGGTGGAACAAATGCTAATCAAGGTGGTCAGTTGAAACATTCACACCTAGCTCCAGCAGACAGGACATTCCACAGATATATAAACCCTTTTTCCTAGTTCCAACAGACCTCACTACCTCTGAGGATGCTTGCCATAGATGCAGGCTAAATGTCAGGAGAGAATGCCTCTAGAACATGGTCATATAGCCCGAAAAAACCTACAACAACCCAATTAAAATGTGGTTTGAGGAAAGCACTTGACTATATTTAAACATATTAGTCTATGACCCTATGTAACATTGTTTTTGTTTCTGGATTATAAATGTCATTTCCTAATTTCCGAATCGATCATTAAAAAATGAGAAAAGTTTATTAAACTGCAAAAACTTTGTCGCGGTCTGCACATTAAAAGGTTTAAAATGGCATATTTTCATTAAGGAAAATTACAAATGAAGTGCCTAGACTGAAGGAAATAATAGTACTACCCCTAGCCACAAAAACAAAGTTTCTGGAGTAGAACAACTACTTTCAAAGTACATACTGCACAATGAAACAGTAAATAACACTTTCAAACCAGGAACAGAACATTTTTCAAATTGTGTTACCTGATGTTATCAAAACATTAAAATAGATAGATGGACAGATAATTAGAGATATACACCCATGACAACCCAATTCCCCTTCTTTATTAGAACAATCTCTTCCCAGAACATACCCAGGCATGGCAGCCTAGTGGAGACTTCTAATCCACATATTTCAGCTTATGTTTCATAAAGTGTTAATTACATATTTCTACTCATTAGATTTTAAGAGCAACTATTTCTGAACTTTTCTTACTTAATCCTTTAATGGTATACCTGAACTTTAAATGCATTTGGTTCTCTTGCCAAACTTGGGGATTGGTTTCACTCATGCATTGGACTGTTTGGCATGTTAAGGTGTTTAAAAGAAGTTCTAGAAAGGAAAGCTATCCATAAGTGGTTTCCTACATACGGTATTTAGGATGTAAGCCTAAATAATAGTTGCAGTACCTCTCAGGAATGTAAACAAAGGGTGCGTTGCGGTGTCCGACTTCACATATATGCCAGTTTATTACACTAAAGGTATGATAATATAAAAGTCAATTAAATTGCCAACGTTATTGGAACGAAGCTGTCACACAGTGTTTTAGCTTGACCCACCAACCTGTACGACCCTGTTCCACAGTCCTGTTAGCAGTACCTCCAGAAAATGTTGAAATGTGGGGTTATCTCTCGAAAACCTTAGAATATATTGTGTTCTGAAATGGACTGTATTTTTATAGTTAAACTGCTGCTACTCTGTGGTGGGATATAAATACAGATTAGTGAGTATTAAATATTACAGCCTGGTTATAAACTTGTCAGTCAGCTCTTTGCATTTGAAAAGTCACTTGTCTGGCAAATTTCCTAATACCTAAGTATAAACCAGCAATCTGTCTAAAGTGGTTTCAGGATGACTTATTCTTCATTTATTTTTCTTTAAAAATATTTTTTTCAGTTTAGTTGATGGTGCCTACAGTGTTATTTAAGGAATGTCTAGAAATTGATTTTATCTTAATTCCTATTGCAGTTGTATTGTTAATTTAAAACATGCTATCTGTTTCATCTATTTCTTCATAACTGTATGCATTTCCCCAAGTGGATTAAATGTTCTAATTTAAATCCAGGCATTTTAGTACTGTGATTTTGAACTTAATGTTAGATGAGGTCTTGAAAATTGATTACTTGCACTGAAATGTTTATGATTTCATTACCTTGATCTGTGTTGGGGAAAAAGACAACCCTTCTTACTCTTTTTGAACCTCTTACTTGTATCCAGTACCATCAACTCTTGTATCAGAGGACTGGCTGTCCAAAATGGGAACTAGTGGTACAAAGGTTCTGTGGTTTTGCCTTTTATCTGGCTCCATATGTGATGCTGAGAAGCTCAATCTAGACTAGAAGTTTTTTTTTTTTTGCTAGGTTGCTCATCCAGTTGTGAATATTGTATTCAACCAACTTTATATGAAGTTAACTCCCCTAAAGCTCAAATTCACAATCTTGGTGTGCTGTCATACTGAGCAATATTGTTGGATGTTGATACATGTACCACCAGCTAAAGCTTACAAAAGATCTGTAGTTCCTTCCAAACAGTCATAATGTCCTGCTCATTGATACCCACTATTATCTACTAAGTTCCAGAACACACTATTGCAATACATTGCATCTGGGGACATTTCAGAAACCTATATTCAGATTGTAACTGACATCAATCTTAAGAGTTTTTCAGTAAGTCCAGTACCTCCCAGTGCCTTTCCGAGTACAATTCATAATGCTGGTTTTACTCTTCAGTTCTTTTACTTTTAATATTCTTTAATATTATACAGCTATTTGTTGTTTTAACGTTTAAAATTGTACATCAGAAGGAAATGCATGCTCCCACATGAATACTAAGACTTTTTTTTTTGAGATTAGGTGGGTGTGATTGAAATAAGCTTCTCAACTGTGGTACTCCTTTGGCAGGGTATTCACCGTAAGGAGATGCTCCTAGCAGCAGATGCTTTACATATATTTGAAATTAAATGAAAAATATCTGTATTTGTCAAAGCGTTCATGTGATACTGAACTAATTGTAGTAGTGTTGACAAATGTTGATGATTTCTTTGGTTGTATTGGTTGTATTTTTTAAATTTTAGTACTGGAGGTATCCATGGAAGTTGCAAAATGAAAAAAGGTGGGATAAGATACAGTTCGTTACTATCAGATATACATAAAATAGTATTTAAGATGGATTAATGAGGCTGTTTCTAAAACATCATTTTAACTTTTATATTGTTCATTTATCCGCTTTGTCTCAGCCCCAGTTCAGATATGAAAGTATTTACTCCATGTCATATGGCAGTGATGGCGAACCTTTTAGAGACCAAGTGCTCAAACTGCAACTCAAAACCCACTAATTTATCGCAAAATGTCAACATGGCAATTTAATCTGAATATTGAAGTGTTTGTTTAGAAAAAACAATTAATACATTAACATATTTTGTATTAAAAGAAAAACACAATATCATAGCTTTCAATGATACAAGCAACTTTTTATTGAAAGGCAAAAGTTTGCATTTGGCGTGCTTTTGAACAATTAATGTGATTTTTGCTGTTGTATGCATGCTGATGTCTAACCTTGGTTCATACTTTGTATGTTTGAGGTTATCTGTTAGTCTGTTTCTGGTGTCAGATTTGATATAATTTAAAGCTGGAAACAGCTGCTCACAAGCATAAGATGATCGAACCAAAGTAAGGAAAGCAATCCCAAGTGTTTTCATTGACTTAA